CTTTTAATACCGCTGGCACATGAGAAGGAATAAACTAACAGAAGAGTACTAAAAATACTGAAATGACTAGTTAGGTGTGCTTCTGACTTAGACATCTACTGAATGGTAATATTACTACGAAGTGACACAGTAGAATGTCATTAAACCAGCAGCATACACATTTAGTTTTAGTCACACCTAAAGCTATGTCCCCCCCGTATCACCACCATCTAGCAAAATTAGTTGAATTTATCAATAAGGAAGTTAGCCTATACTTTTAATCACAGTTTCATAAAGAGCTTTCACACTTATTTATCCAACAGGGGGTTAGCCTTACTTCTAAAGAAAAATCCTCTAAAAAAGTGTAGCTATCTAAGCAAATGATAGTGAGTATTCTCCTATCAGTAATTTATGTGAAAGTGAATACAATAAATTCTAATTTCACAGAGGACTAAAAAACAATTCACATAGAAGATAAAATTTTCCACAGTATCAGAAATTACTTTTTCAATAAAGAAAAAATATACAAGGGGCCCCTGGGTGGTTCAGTGGGTTAAGTGTCAGACTTCAGCTCAGGTCATGATCTCATGGTTCGTTGAGTTCGAGCCCCATCAGGTCCATGCTGACATCTCAGAGCCTAGAACCTGCTTTGTATTCTGTGTCTCCCTCTCTCTGTCCCTCCCCTGTTCGGGCTCTGTCTCTCTCTCTCTCTCAAAAATAAACAAACATTAAAAAAAAATTAAAAATATATACAAAATTCCCACAAAATAATTTTATTTTTTAAAAAGAGCATTTTATGAAAAACTTCATTTATTATAAAATACTTTGCTTAAAATGATCATTACAAATATTCATAATATAAATCCTGTTTAATATCAAAACTGACAGTTGATCTTTATTAGGCTATATACAAACGTCAATAGTGAAGAATCACCTAATATTTTCCCAATAATTTCTATTGTATAATAAACTCCATGATAAAGCTGTTTAGAATTTCCAATAATAAATTTAAAACCTTTAAATACATATTTCTCTAAGTATCAATATTGGCAAACAAAAATTAGTCAAGCAAATTTTTCCACTAAAAGGAACCAGAGTAAGTCTTAACAATGAATTATGCTCATCTCTAAAATAGTATCTCCCCAAATTGTTATATAATCAACTCCCCCTTTAATCTATTTTATAGACAGCATTTCAAAGCCTGCATCTAACTAAGTAACTTAAAGAATAATCACTAGTAGGCTACCTGGGTGGCTCAGGTGGTTGAGTTCTGACTTCGGTTCAGGTCATGATCTCACGGCTCATGGTTCGACCCTTGCGTTGGGCTTTGTGCTGACAGCCTGGAGCCTACTTTGGATTCTGTGTCTCCCTCTCTCTCTGCCCCTCCCCCATTCACACTCTGTATCTCTCTCTCAAAAATAAACATAAAAATTTTTTAAAAAGTCAAAAAAAAGAAAAAAAGAATAATCACTAATGGACCCCATTTCAGAATGTAACCATGTTGGCACAATGTAAGAAGAGCAGTCATAGTAAGCTTATAAAGTACAATTAGTGGAAAGGAGCTCCCTATCTAATTAATAAGGTTATTAATAAGGATTAGGAGTTGATAGTATGTGGGGGAAAAAAAGTTCCAATGTAGCAGCTGCAGATGGCTCTGTAACTCCAGAACTAGGTTAAGTCGTCACTAAAGAGCCTTAAATAAATCTGATCCTAAATTCACTTCAGAGAAAAAAGGAATTATGAGTAAGGACAACTAAACAAAGACTAGAAAGAGTAACTTACAGAAAGTATGTCCTTGGAGAATAGGAACTACAGCTATTTAATTTTATTTGTATTTTATGACATTGGAACAGGTAAGTACGAAGTAACTGATGCATCATACAAAATTTACCACTGTCTATCAAATTTTTAAAAAGCAGTCTTTAAATTTCTCTATAAATGGGTGCCTGGGTGTTTCAGTTGGTTGAGCGTCCGACTTCAGCTCAGGTCATGATCTCACACTCCGTGAGTTTGAGCCCGCGTTGGGCTCTGGGCTGACAGCTCAGAGCCTGGAGCCCACTTCAGATTCTGTGTCTCCCCCTCTCTCTGCCCCTCCCCTGCTCATGCTCTGTCTCTCTCTGTCTCAAAAATAAATAAAAAAACATTAAAAAAAATTTTTTTTAATTTTTCCATAAATATTTTTTACTCAAATATCTTGGGAAATAAAAAAATCAGAAAAAAGTGTTTGAATTTTTCTCAACACAAAATTATAACGTACTGTTGTTTTAGCATAATAAAAAAATTCTCAATGTTTTTTAACTAGTATGACCTATTTAAAATAAGCTTTCTTTTTTAAAAAAATCTTTTTAACGTTTATTTATTTTTGAAAGAGAGAGGAGTGAGCTGGAGAGGGGCAGAGCAAGGGAGACACAGAATCTGAAGCAGGCTCCAGGCTGTGAGCTGTCAGCACAGAGCACCTGGGGCTCAAACTCACGAACCATGAGATCATGACCTGAGCAGAAGTTAGACGCTAAACCGACTGAGCCACCCAGGCGCCCCTGAAACAAGCTTTCAAAAATACTGTGGATAATAACCAAACACTGTACCATTTTCTCTTTCAGAATTTAAAATATTTATACAGTCAGAAGCTGAGGTTACATGTCAATTATAAATGGTAAGTGTGTTCTTTCTCTACACCAAGTTCACCTTCCCTTTAAAGCCCACACACACTAACTGATCTGGCTCCTCATTCTACTCTAACAACTCCAGAATCCTCTTATTAAAATCAATTTATAACCAAATAAAGTTCTTCCTGGCTTGATTTTGGCAGTCCTCAAAGCTGGTTCTCACAAAAATTTAAGGACTGCAATATAACATTATTAGCCAAAGTGGTTTCTATGAAACCTTTTGCCAAACTTTCCAGTCCCTTATCCCTTGTCACTGACACATTTATCTTACTAACCACTAATGGAGCAGATCAACCCAGCCACCTGTCTAAGTCTCCACTATTAACTACCTAGGCCTAGAGTGTTTGAAGGTGGGAAGTATAAGAATGGGAATCACATTGTGTGTGTGTATACACACACACACACATATATCACATCTTCTTTACCCATTCATTTATTAAAATACAGCATAGGGAAGGGAATATAGTCATTAATACTATAATAATGTAAGGTATGATAATGTATGGGAACTATCATGGAGAGCACTGACTAAACAGAATTGTTGAATCATGATACTGTACACTTGAAACTAACGTAACACTGTATGTTAACTATACACTTCAATAATAAAAATTAAAAATAACTTAAAAAAAAAAAAAAAAAGAATGGGAACCACACAATCAGAATGCACCACTTCAATGTTTTCAAGGTGACTCAGCACTTCCTTCGTATGTCTATGGTCTCCTATTTCCAGTCGTTCCAATTACCCCTTTTTTCACCGGTAGGAACTGTCTTACCTTCTTAGAGAGCATCACTGTCTCCGGAGGAAAAGTGGTAAGGAATCGAAGTTCCAGCCCTGACAACTGTGAATATTTAGTGACCCCCACATAGTTTTAGCTCTTTTCAGTCTATCCCAGAAGAAGGAGTCTTCTAAGACCAATAGTTTCTTACCTGTGCTACAGTTCTTGTCCAAACTCTCAGGAAACCTGCCTCATCAATTCCCACCCCCTATTCATGTTGGCATTAATATCTTCCTCCATGCTGTCTTTTGTCCTCAGCTTATCTTTATCCTCAAGTCTACAACATCTTAAACAATAAAAATTAAATTAAAGCTGACCTTCGATTTAACATCTTCCTCTAGTTACTACCATCTTTCTTCCCTCAGGCCTATTTTTTGAAGAGTGACTATAGTTGCTACTCCCAATGCCACAATTCTCGTCAACTGTAATTTGATTTGCAATCCTACCACTCCACTACAATTGCTTGTGGAGGTTTCTAGTAACCTCATAAATGCCAAATCCAAAGGTCACCTCTCAGTCTTTGTTTTATTCAATCTCTTTGTAGCATCTGGCAACATGAATCACTTTTTCTTTGCTGAAATACTAGAGCTCCCAAGAGAACTATCCTGAGCCTCGTTCTCATTTTACATCCTCTTTCTATGGCTCCAACTATTATCCATAAGCTGAATATTCCCAAATTCTTCCTGCTAGCCAAGATTAACATGAACACTAGACCTATAATTCAGCTATCTATGTGTCTACCTCCACACCATATAACTTCAAACTCAACATTCAGAAACTGAATTCATAAATATCCTCACTTTGCCCATTGCCAAAATGGGGGACAGTTATGCCTATGTCCACCTACTCTATCAAAAAAATCGTAAGATATATGAAATAACAGATTCAGTTGCTTAACATAAAAGAATTTAAAATTCTTTCTGGGTGGTTGGAGGAAGGGAAAGGCCACACAAGATCTGCTCCAAACTCAGAATCATAGCATTCTAACGACTGTTTCTCTCAACCTGTGAAAACCCTTAATATCTAGAAGTTAAAATTAACACGGTACTGGGGTTGGTAATAAGTTTCAGAGCTTAAATTCTTCAGAACTTTTCTCACTAATGACCACAGAAGGCTTAGAATAAGCTTGTTTGAACTATGACTTTTATCATTTCTGTAATGGTAAGAGGACTGACTCAAAAAGTACATGGGTGCCTATCTACTATGTTCAAGATAAAATGCTAATTAATTACTATGGGAGACACAAAAAGAAGATTCAATTCCTGCCCTCAGTAAATTTGTTATCTAGTTGGAAAATACTAAATTCACACAAATACTATGACATAAAAGCTGTATGTACAATCAGTGGTATTACAAAAATATTCCTACTTAAAATAATAAATAGTAAACTTTCAGAATTTCTTGGGAATGAAAAAAAAAAAGGCAATGTAACAAACTATAGTTACAGCTAATCCAAAAGACAAACTATAGTTTTATATTCTTGGTTTAATGTCACTGATAAAATACACAGGTTTTACACATTATTGCAAAGTAAGCTGCAAAAAGCAAGACTTTTCCTACTTTAATAAACAATTACCTTTACTTGGAACTGATTTTTTCACTGAGGCTACATGATCTTCGGAGATTGCAAGACGCCTCAAAACATCAGCCAAAGCTGCCTTTAGCACAGTGATTTCATCTTCTTGTTGTTGAACTCGTAACTCAAGAGCTGAGAGGCGATCTTGAACGTCGGAAGTACTTGCAGCAGAAATACTATCATCTATAAAATGAAGAAGATGGTTTTTTTTTTTTTTTTTTTTTTTTTTTTTTTTTTTTAAGTAAACTGTTCAAGAAAGAATCTAACAACAAATAAAGAGATCTACTCAGGGGTGCCTGGGTGGCTCAGACGGTTGAGCTTCTGACTCCTGATTTTGGCTTAGGTCATGATCTCACAGTCATGGGTACAAGCCCTGAATTGGGCTCTGTGCTGACAGCATGGAGCCTGTTTGGGATTCTCTCTCTCAAAATAAACAAACAAAAATTTAAAAAAACGAAAAAACAAAAAAGATTCTCCCTTTCCCCGTCTCTCCCCACCCTCCCACCTCTGCTCACACTCACTCTCATGCTCTTAAAAAACAACAAACAAACAAAAAAAGGAACATAAAGAAGATCTATTCAGGTAAGTCTTTTAAAAGATGACAAAAATTGGGGGGAAAAACAAACCCATCATTTTTACACAGATTAACTTCTGTAAATATTTTCCATAGCTATTTGAATGAATTAAAAATAGTAAAAGTTAATATATCTGACGTAAAACTACAATTATGAAAATTTTCCCCATGATCAAATTTTCCCCATTATTATACTGTAACCTTAACTAGTTTTTTCATCAAAATTTTCTCTAAATAGATCACTTTGGAGACTTCTGGAAACTTGCAAGATAGTCAAGTATCCAAAGTATCCTTTAAATGATCACATCATTATCCTACTTCTCTATGAAAATAAAAAAGGAGTACAAATCACTTCACAGTTTTGCTTTATGTATGACTGCGAACCACTCACCTTCAGCATCAATGATCAGAAAGCACTCTTTATTTCTGTCTTTGCTATTATACTCCCCAAATGCCACAAGATATTGCTATATATTCTTGTTTTTTCTTACCCGATGTCCCAACTCTTGAAAAAGGAAGTATGGTTTCTATAAAGCACACAGCTAATACTTATTTGTTAGGTATGTAACAACAACAACAAAAAGACTAAATAAAGTTTAACTATAACATAGCAATTACAAACTACTTCCAAAGCTATGTAACTTTAGAGCACACTGTTAACAGCTGGGTCAGTCAGAACCCAAACGTATAGAAAGATCAATAGCTGTTGGCTAATGCACTATAAGCACGAAAATTCAGATTCTTACAAGAAGTATGGTTTGGACCAGAGTTTTATAAACTGGGACAGTTATTCACACAATAAAGGCACAGTGTGCCATTTTTCTCCTACTGAGAGAATGTGTTATCCATCTTCTTAAAAAGACAATTTAACTCAAAGTTTGAGTTAAAACATTCAGCATTTAAAAAGCAACGCTATCACCACTTTGTTATGGAGCCGTAAACAATATTTATGTTTAAGATCACATATGCCAACAGACCTCTCAGGTATACATATGTACTCTCTTTAATTTTTTAAACGTTATTTTTGTGAAAGAGAGAGAGAGAGAGAGAGAGAGAGAGAGAGAGAAAGAGACAGAGCGCAAGAAGGAAGAAGGGGAGGGACAAAGAGAGAGGGAGACACAGAATCAGATGCATGCTCCAGGCTCTGAGCTGTCAGCAGAGAGGCCGACATGGGGCTCGAACCCATGAACGGTGAGATCATAACTTGAGCCGAAGTCAGACGCTTAACGGACTAAACCACCCAGGCACCCCATACTCTCTTCTGCTTTTAGAGGTATTTCATGCACAATCTTTGAGAAGTACCAGTATAGAATGAAAATTTATCTTCAATTTAGACTTTAATAACGATTAGCTGTATAATCTTAGGCAAACTCTCTGAACCTCAATTTCTTCATCTTTAAACAGGTTATGAAGAAGGTGCCTAAACATGTTTGATATCCAACAAATGTTAGGATACAACAGAAAAGTACAATAGTTGTAATTTGAGTGCTTTGGGTGCATTTGTTACATAAAAGGAGTTCTGTCAAACTGAGATGCTTAAGAAAAGGACTAGTAAGAACAATTCAGTCTCTCACTTTAGAAATTTTAATATTTGAGGCCTCTTTCATTTCCACAGTGGCCCAGCTGAATTCTAGCTGACCCACACGCTTCGTGCGTTCTATTATGTCACTATGATTTTTGCCTGCCCAGAATGCCTTCCTATTTTCCTTCTTCTGGTTGGAAGAAAAGCACCTCTTCTCTTTTGTGGAACTCTACCATTTTCTGAAGTCCCATTAGGGCTGTTAATCAATGATGCCTCATTCTCCCCTCTACCACCCTGCACTATTAATAGGTTAACCATACAAAATGGCCTTTCAAGTTGGTAAAAAATATTTACTGGCAATTTCATATGGTTTAATCTACTACTACTTACAGGAGTGGTTGTGAGATGTGGGCTAGGCCAAATGGAATCCTCCCAAGCTTCCCAGAGGCGGAGCTGTAGTCCATCCTTCTTCCTGGTTTGCTAACTAAGGACACAGACCTAGGGCCATTAGTGACAGAGAGTCTTAACCGCCCTGAGATGCAGTTCTAGTCTCTGAAATCCAGGACCTTCCATTCTCAGAGTTGCTCTAATATTCCTCCTAGCTAATTGTATCTACTAATAAATTCCCTTTTTGCAAGCCATTTCTTGTAAGCCAAAGGTCCTGATGAAGACAGTTAATAATATGGATGTGCCATTCTACACTGTTCTCAATTTATGAAGGATGAGTTATATAATTAAATTGCAATCACAACATATTTATGTGATTTTTATAAATACATAATCTTAATTATTTTGGGAAGGCAGCAGAGCCTGGTGGAAAGACTATCAGACTATAAGGTCAAGGTTATACAGCATTTTACTACTGACATGGTACTAGTTTTCATTTTTGTCAAGTCATTTAACTTTTCTAAACTTTTTTTTTCTTAGTGACTGAGGTTTTTATTATGTGAAACGTGAAATGAAGGGTGGTTCAGCTTGTAAAAATCCTACCATGACCTGCTAGATACTGTGATAAGACACAAGGACAATTTTTCAAAGGGCATAACAAATACAAGGTTAACTATTAACAATGTCCTGCGTTTATATTGTACCTTTCATATTATTACCTTATCCCCCTCCTCACACTATCTATATTTGATATTTGAGGATATAGCTCAAGAAGTTAAATAGCCTTGCCCAAGGTCACCAAATCAGTCTTGATACCTGAGACTCAAACACAGGACTCTTGGCTCACAATTTAAGTGCCCCTTTAGTGTATTTCATGCTACATTCTTAACAATAATCACAGGAGGACCAAAAAAATGTATTTTTTTTTCCCACAAAGCTACTAAAGAGTTATAACTACTGAGTGATATAATCATGTTTTTGTTTGAAAAAGGTAATTTTGGGGGCGCCTGGGCGGCTCAGTCAGTTAAGCATCCAACTCTTGATTTCCGCTCAGTTCATGATCTTGTGGTTTGTGAGTCTGAGCCCTGTGTCAGGCTCTGTACTGACAGCTCAGAGCCTGGAGCCTGCTTTGGATTCTGTGTCGTCCTCTCTCTCTGACCCTCCCCCGTTCACACTTGGTGTCTGTCTGTCTGTCTCTCTCTCTCTCTCAGAAATAAACATTAAAAAAATTAAAAATACATAAATAAAACAAAGCTTCATATTTATATATGTATATATTGTACACATAGAAAAAAAGTCTAGAGGGATACACATCAAACTGGTGACTGGGTTATTTCTGATTAGGAGAATGAGATTGGAAAGAGAGGAGTAAAAAGTAATTTTCGCTTTTCAGTGTTAAGTATTTCTATATTACCTGAAATTCACCATAAAAATGTATAATATGTTAATCTTTTTTTAAGTTTACTTATTTTGAGGCAGGAAGCGTTGTTGTCTTTAACACAGCCTCTTTTCTAGCCTTTGTAATCAATGAGTAAAAATTTACATTAATTGCCTTATATTCTAGCATGTTTTTTTAAATTTTTTTTTTTAACATTTATTTATTTTTGAGACA